GTGAGGCCGGCCCATTTTTGTGTTCCAAGGCCCACCAGAAGCAAGCTTCTTTCTTAAACGGGCTTTTATCCTTCCTTCTTATATTACCTGGACAACGCGTCTACTGGTATATCTAAAACGAGTATGTGCTCTCTATTACACTATCTTTATCGAGTTACAAGGCCTATTACTTTTTTCAACTTCTTGCAATTTTTTAATAACACATCTGCTGGTGCATCTAGGATGGGTGTGTACCCTCTATCACAAAGTCTAACACCATCCCGATTGTTAAAATGTTTTCTGAATTTTGCATTTTCATGACAAAAAACAGTCATAGCAATAGGAGGAAGAAGATTAGAAGTAGATTTGATTTTGCAATACTTCCCATCCATGTTTCCTGTTATAACGTCGATGTTGGCAAATAAAAATGATGTTCTCGATGATTCACTTAGACAATAATGGAAGATAACAGTCTCTTTGATTGTGAAAGATCTCTTGCTTTTGAAAAAAGATGGACTGCTTTTTCATAAGAGTATGGTCTAAAAATTGGAGATCATTGGTACACTCGTTGTCTTCTACATGGTGGTCAATGCTATTATTTATCGGCATTGCATTATGGTCGGAAGGATTGATCCACACCCGATATTATCATTCTCACTCACCGCCATCGTATTCATTCTCATGTGGCACTTTGTAACTCCAGGGAAGATCAAAAATGTCTTACTTTAGCATCACTGCATTCATTGTCATCGTTATCTCGCCAATCTTCCATTGCATGTACATCAAGCACGGAAGCCCGAATTCTGGAGGTCCCCTCAATACCATGGATACTTTCCGCATCAATCTTGTTTTGCATGCTAATTCCTATTATGAGGTATTGCGTCAATGATGATGCCACAAACAAAGTTGTTGGAATTAGTTAAATACCAATTAGGCCTGGAGAGATTGATTTAATTTTGGAAGATAATTCAAATTAGTTTGAATTTTAATAGATATCGAATCTGAACTCTATTTACCGTAGCATTTCTTGTGTCTGAGGTACTTACCCTATTGTATGTATGATATTCATTGATATCTAAAAGAGATTTAGCAGCTTTAGCCGAATTTTTAGCTCTATGTAATCTATATGAAGATTTTAGAAATTTAATTTTGAATTCGAAACAGAATTTATGACTCCTGAAATGTGGATGAGGTAAAATTGTCAAAATACGTGGTGGCAGTCCTTGTGAACTTAGAACAGCATATGTGGGTGGAGGTAAGATCAAAAATTACTCCATGCATAATTTTT